TAAAAACAAACTTTCCACTAAATATCTATAATACCAGTTATATTAATAATTATTGTAAAATATTCAGTGGGTGGTGCTTTATCTATTCTCTATTGTTTTCTTCTTCTTTAGGTGTAGGTATTAAGTGGGGGTGGTAACTTTAATATTTCATAGAGCATACGCAGAGTAACTGATATTTAATGTTCTTCATTCCTTTTTTAAACCTGTCATCTATTTATTCCTTTACTTGATCTTCCGGCGAAACTTTATCCTTTTTCGAATGAGAAAAGAGAAAAAGAGGAGAATAGAGGGGAGAGGGTTACTAATAGATTTTCAAGCCTTATTTATTACCAGGTACAATCCATACTCTGAAGCGGAAATAAACGAGTCATTTAAACTTTACCCTAAACCTTTACTCCCCTTATTTTCTATGTATTGATATATTACGCTTTCTCCTAAATGTGGAAGTAAACTAAATTCAATCCGTAACCCGTGCATTTCCCCTTTAATCGATTTCTTGATATCTTTACTCTTTCCCTTCCCCTGCCCCCCTCCCCCCTTTTTATATATTCTACAACCCATCATTATTGTTGCAGGACTGGCAAAAGGCGGAGGTTGAGAGAGACCTGCTTAAAAAGCATATATTTCGAATCGGTCGGCTAGTAATCGATTTTAACATCGAAAGAGGTTTGTACATTTCTTAATAGATTGCGATAGTATTACCAAAGAAACAAAAGTGTGAAACTCAAATCTTCAGCGTCGATGTATCGGGTTTGTCAGTTGGAATTAATTCGATTTGCAATCGCCTTGGTACAGTAAATGTTTAAAAGAATATTATGCATACATCGGTTTTGCGTTCCGGTTGAGAGAGGGGGAGATTGGTAATAGAAGGGGAATGATTGATGTTAAGCGGGTTGTCGGTCCTCACTCCCTCCCCTTGCCTTTTCCTTTTCTTAAACCTCTTCTCCATCCTCCCGATCTCCTTTCTATTGAAACTGAATGTTTGTCTCAAAAGTAGGGATTAGATAGAACTAAGTCTGATATGAGAACAAACTCTCTAGATGACTGTAGCGCAATTGTTGGATTACCGAAGAAAGGGCATTAAGGGCGATAAAACATAACGAGAGACGCTTTTCCGTCAATCGTAAATGTTCGATATAACACAGTAGGGTATAAGGAATGTAAATTATGATCTATTTTACGTAGTTGACTATCATAGGAATAAGAGAAGTAAGGAAAGAATGTTTCTAGACAGGATATTTAGTTTCTGTCATTATTATTTCTTATATAAAACAAGAAGGAAAAAATCACTAATTATTATTTTAATATCATTATACCAAAAAGTATTAATAAATATTCAATAAACAATCCATTTAACTCGTTAAAAGACAATAAAACTAAACCCCCTTTTAACGTGCTTAATAACAATAGAACAATGAAGAGAGAGGCTTTATTTCAAATCCTACTTTTTCGCTCAATCTATCTTCGACAAATGTAAATCATATGCAAATTAGCTGTTGTGAAAAAAATACGAAATATGACAGCTAGTTAATTGTTTTACCATTACTTTTATTAAGAGGATAGACAGTATGAGGAGGGAGATCAGCAAAGAAGATATAATATTTAAATATACCTATATACAGTAGATATGTGCACAATGCAATTATCATTTTTTTAAATGAACAATCTTCTACAAGCAAACGAATTTAATCTAATTAAATTAAATAGTATATATCTGGCAGTAATGGAATTTCATCAATATACATAGTATACTAGAAAAGATAGTAATTACGTTATCCATGTCACAATTAATCTAATTCGATTATTGCCTCTCTTGTTTTCTATTTCTATTTTATTCCCATTCATAAAAATAATCCTTCTCAAGTTGAAAAGGAGAGATGAGAAAGATAAAAGAAAAATTATCATTCAATTAATACAATAAGTAAAACAATTATAAATTATAACAAATCCGATTAGTTGTATTTCTTTCTATCTTCTTTTCATCCTCATTTAATATATTTAAATTTATGCATATTTATAATTTTTATCTTTAAAACATTGATAAAACCTCGTACAAATGTATGTAAACAATTTAAGCAATCGTAGTAAGTAAATTCTCTTTGAAAAAAAAGAGGAAAATATTTCAGTTTGCACACGTTAATGGCTTTGCTTCATCGCCCCGAGTGATTGCATGAAAACTTTCTAAATAAAGGGAAATTCGCGCAGGTGGCGGTAAAAAAGTATCTATGTCCTAAATGCCAAACCGATTTATTACTATTTTATAACGTTTGGTTGCTTTTTTCATATATTATAAACTTATTACGTAAAAAGATTAATAGGAATATATTAGATCGGAGAGAAATCGAAAAAAAATACTGCCTCTATTCAAAAGAGATTAATCTAAGCATAGCGTATGGTAACTAGGATGGAAGTAGTGTGAGAGATTGAGTGAGTGAGGGAGTAAATGAGCGAGAAAAGAGAGAGAGAGAGAGAGAGAGAGAGAAGAAAAAAGAGGCAAGAAAATTAATTAAGTGTTATATTAGTAAACTATACTGACGGATTATAATTATCAAGTTAAGATTGATTTTATAAAGAGCATTTATATATTAATATATATATTCAATCTCTTGGATATAGAAATATTTTCATATATATATAGGAAATATCTGTATATCCATTTGTTTTCATATGAAGAAACGTTCTTCGTCTTGAAAATATCTTGTTAGATTGTTGACCTATTCGACTGGTCTAAAAATAGTTTGAAGATGATAAATGATCTGAAACTAGACGAAAAACATAACAGTAGCAACGCTGTCAATGACAAATGATTGACAATCAAAAGAGGAGTTTAATCAGTGGGACTTATTACAATACTGCCAAAATTATGTCATAATTTTGTCCGCTTTTCTCCCAATTCCATTATTTATTAGTAGTTTTTATATGATATTTATAAACATAATATCGAAAATTTTCCTCATTTTAATAAATATTAAAAACACGTGTTAATTAATAAATGAATATGATATACAACTAAATCTTATATCGTAAATATTATGATGTTCATGATACTTAAATATCTCTATTCATACTATGTGAAGTTTTTAGTAGGGTATATATTTTACATTAGACAAAATACCATCATTCCTATTTATAAACTGCTAAGAGCAGCTAAGGAGACAGATAACATTCGCTTTGAAATACATTTTTTGAACCTGAATATTTGACGGACACGTAAATTTGCTTAACCAAGTAAAGGAAATAAATCGAATTTATGCTTCTTGTCTGGATGCTTCCATAATGCATTTTTATCTTCAACGCCATCTGTGAGAATTTCAATATATAGATATAAATAAAATGTAATAATACACATTTTCGTTCTCAGCTATTGATTTAAAAAGATATATTTTCATCTATTAGTTATGGAATATACAATTTCAAAATTAACGCCTCCTTTCTGCTTAAAGCACATATATATAATATATATTTATATCTCTATATATCTAAATATATAAACCTTATGGACCGTATCTTTTTCTTTAATACTTATGATTTTACTGTGGGAATTCCAGCCCAAAAAATACTACTCAAGAGAATCATATTAGATATCCTTTAGAAAGTGCAACTGTAAGCTTATCTTTCTATTCGCCTTTAATTTATTAAATTTGAGAGAAATTTTTTATTAAAAAAAAAGTTAATGGCTTTAAATTACATAATTATAAGACATATGTCATAAATTTAACCTTTAGTTTGCTATTTCTTACCTTTAAAGTTTGCAAAGTTTGCTATTTTATTATATAGCTATCATTATTTTATTGAAGTCCTCATTTCTTTTTTCTTTAAATTATAACAAATAAGCTTATTATAAAATATTAGCTATATATCTCATTCCCTTCTACTGGCTCTCTTTTCTCTCTCCCTTCTTTTATTCATTTTCTTTGCTCATCTCCTATATATTTATATCTAGCTTTGTTTTGCCATCTATCCCCGGTGGTCTCTCTCTGTCTTTCTCTCTCTCTCTCTCTCTCTCTCTCTCTCTCTCTTTTTTTCCTTACTTAAAAATAATAATACTTCAAGAAAACTTTAAGTGCTCACTAATTAATTAATTCGGAGGTACTCAAAGAAGAGATTAGAAATATTTAGAATAGGCTTATACTTATCATTTATACGTAACTTTGAAAAATAGAATTACGATAATAAATCTTTCGATTAAAACAATTAATTCAGTCAAAAATTAACCGCTGGGGTAATAGACTATCTAACGAGACTAAAGCGTTTATTATTCAATGCAAGTAGGCTGACACGCCCTGGTACTTTTGTAGGCAATGCTCGTCCTGACGTTCTAATAAACGGCTTTCGATTTTCTTCCTCGTATTTTCTTTGAATATTCCAAGCGTATTCAACTTATGTAAACGCTAAAACATAAAAAGGAAGAATGTTTATTTTATCTTGTCACCCAGAAGATATTCTATTGCTGCATGAAACATCGAAATAAATAATAAGTCTATAAATAAATGATCATTTACTTGTATATATGAATTTTTACAGATATACAAACACCCTAACTTATAATCTTATTCTCTCTACCCTGAATAACCTTCTCACCCTCGAACAACCTTTACATTCCCTTTTCTCTCTCGCTCTCTCAACCTCACTTATTTGCAGTTGAATTTTACTGTCATTTGCTTTCTCTCTCTCTCTCTCTTTCTATTTTCTTCCAGTTTGCTTCATTTTTCCTATGTGGCCCTCTATTACTCCCTCTCTCTCTCTCTCTCTCTCTCTCTCTCCCTCTCTCTCTCTCCCTCTCTCTCTCTCTGTCCTTGCTCTCTCTCTATCTGCCTTTCGCTCTCCCATCTGAATTTACATAATTCGTAACAGCCGGCGGCGCGATTTCGAATTTATTAAATACAATATTTTTAGCATTTGGTACAGTTTTTTTTTTGTTTTTTCCTCCTTACAGAAGAGACGCTACTTTTTATTACCTCTAGGGAATTGGAATCTCAGCAACGTCTTAAACACTCAATGATGGATTTTAGGAGTGTAGTTGATAGGAATATAGAAGAACTTGAATTCTGGCCAGGTTTAGAAAGTGATGGGCGAATGTTTAAAAATTATCAACTATTTGCAGCAGTTTTAAATAAGCATAGAAGCGAACTGAAGCCTGGAAAGAATTTTGTCGATGAAACTCAGTTTTACATGAATATTTTAGATACACTATTTGCATGGATTCATCGAGAGATGAGTTTATTCGACGAAGATGACTGGCGGCATCTGCAGGCCTACGGTTATCTGATTGCTGCCATCAATTTTATCGGAGCTGAACAGGCAAGGCTGAATTAAAAAGATTCAAATAAGTTATACTATATTACAAATTCTGAGTATCCGTCCCTAGAGAGGATATATACAACTGTTCATTCGTTAAAGGGAATACTAATTTAAATTGTATTATTCATGAGTATTGCTCCAAAGCTAAAATTTTAAAAACGTTATTACCAATCCTAGCTGAACTCTGAGGGATTTTTCAGGATAAAAATAATGACTATTTTTAAGTAAATTATGTAACTGCTATTGCTATAAAAGAGAGCATTGCATACAAAATGAAGTCTATAGTATATCATGTATACATATGTAAGTTTATACTATGTATAATAGATATGTATACATATACAGCTACTATATTAAGAGCTTACCTTACAAAACTCTATGTCCAAGTCTCTATAACCTAACAATAGAAATTAATTCAAAAGAAAATATACATTTTCAGAGAACTATTCAACGTAACCGTAGAATAGTCTGATAAAACGTAAGTTAGATTCATTACAGTAACAGATTCAGGGGATAAGATGATGTTCTTATTTCACATTGTTGCAATATTCATCTATTTGTAGTATCTGCTTAAATAAACTAAAAAAAAACGTGTAGTTTATTTTTTCATACGTCAAAGAATAGGAGAGTAACTCATGATAAATTCAATACTAAAATAACTCATTTATCAGGCTTGTCACGTTACCTAACAATCGCATATTAATTTATTCATAGTATTAAAATATATCAAATTTATATGATGTTTATATACTATATATACAGTATATATATATATATATACAAGTACATTATATATATTTTTAATTTAACCTTGCCTCATTGGGGTTATTTTTGACAAAAAAAGGCTCTTTGTTCCGTTTTCAACACTATTGTGTGCTTCAGCCACAAAGAAACATTTTATTATACTAACTTATCATTCACTGGAGAGAATATTTATAGGCTCTACAGGCAATCTTATCCGGAAACATTTATGAAAAGTTCCAGTTGGAGATCAGCTAACCATAAGAACTTCTTTCCAGAATTGAGCGTTTGCAGGAAGGAAATCATAGCTGGTTTGGATTTTCAGACTAGTGATAGCAGAGAATGTTCTCTGAGTAGAAAAAACGAAACCCGCTTCGAAGAGATCAACATTTTATTGGATGAATATCGAGCATTAACCGGAACGCTTAACGGTCGAATACAACGAAAATTAGACGCTAGAACGCGACAATTTGTTGTTAGCTTGATAATACTTTGCGTTTCTGCGACTTATTCTTTGATAGGTCTCTCTTGTAAGTGCTTTTGCTGTTGGAGAAAACGAAAGAGTACACCGAAGAAAAAGGAAAAGCCAAAAGTTCGATTCGAAGAAAATAACCATAAATTTTACGATTCAACGTTACCGTTAACGAATTTACAAGACAATGTTCTAATAGAAGAAAATCACGTTAATGAAAGATTTCATACTATCAAAGTAGCTACAGTTTAAAAAGTAATATGTTCTTTTTTAACTCTTTTGTTAATATTTCCACTTTTGCCGTTAATTACTTAAAAATTTGAATACTACTGCTAATAATGCAACTACAACTTATTCATTTTCTCTTTCTTTCCACCGTTATCATGAAGATAGATTTAACTTATCCTGTTTCTTTATCAAAATTGTTGGATAAGAAGCTCTCTCTTTCTTATATTTTTTTATTATCAATACGGCAAACTGTAAAAGATAAAAAAAGATACTGTAAATGTTTGTATACTATACAGTAAACTTCTACTGTATATATCTATATACTATATTGTAAGTATATTACGTAATGTTTCTCTATTGTTTCATATAAATATGAAAGTAAATGATGTTATTTTAAAATGAAGGAATACAGGATTGTAAAGTTTATTATGAACCAAAAATAAAATCACAATAAAACCCTATATATTATAATTATAGATTATTTGTAACTTTTGCTTTTTATATTAAAAAAAAAGAGAAAAATAATTTCTTTTTCCTCAATTAACGTATTTTAGTAAAATCCATCATAACTTTCGAAGATAACTGCGGTTCGTTCTTTCGAGCTTTCTTGGGATCAACTGCGAAGCATTTCCATAATCTCAACGTTTCATCTGCACCAGCAGAAACCACAGTCTGCCCATCCGGACTCATTGCAAGAGCTAAAATCCTTTGCGAATGACCCAATAATTCAACAAGAGGACTCATCGATGGATATTTCCAAATCGACAGATGATTCTTAGCGTATCTATTTTCGATAAAACGAAAGAAAAAAAAAGGATTTATTACTAGAATTACGAATGTAAAGAGAAAAGAAAAGAGAAGCAAGTAACGAGAAGAATAAAAAATACTTCGGAATAAAAAATAAACGTGCTCTTTTAACGAAAAAAAGACTGTTTTCATTAAATCTGAGTAAAAGTATTCAAATATGTAACTATTTAACTACATCTTATCCTATATATACTAACTAAAAGTAACTTAAGAGAGGAGAATAACTTATACATATAAAGAAGTATAAATGTCTTAAGATATACTCATACATTTATATATATATGCATAAGATTAATCTCTTCAAAGAAAACTAATTATCTAATAGACTTAATGCCTAAAAGACATACAAGCTTCTTCGTACGCGATTTACGTCTAGTATGCTAAATTATAAATAAAAACGAAAACTGATATAAAGGCGAAGACAAGAGAAAAATCAGCAATTTCCTCACCCGTGACCACTTATAATTTCACGGTATTGGCTAGACCAGAGTAGTCCACACACTTGAGAGTTCGTATCGGTCGAATGTAAACAATCACCAGTTGTCACGTTCCACAAACGGATGGTCTTGTCGGCAGTACCACCTCCTGATGCCAAAACATGCTCACGCCAAGGGCACCAAGCTAAAGCCTATTGAAATAGGATAAAAAAAAGTCTATTTTAAAAAATTCCACAAGTAATGAAACAAGGATAGTAAAGGACCAAAGCAATTGTTAAATTTAATAAAGCATATTCAAATAGAAATATATATAAATTGATTAATCGACGATTCAATAATTACTTACTTTTACAGCAGCCTGATGGAGTGAAAGAGTCTGAAGTGGTGCATTTTGAGTGAAACATTGCCCTCCTTGAGCCTCCCATATTAGTAGATTATTATCATTACCGCCAGATGCCAAATATTGTTTGTTGCAGGACCATTTTAAACCGCAAACCTTTTTTGACAGAAAATATTTAATACACTATTTTAAGTGTCACTTAGGTTTTTTTAAGCATACAATTATTTTTTAAAGAAATTACTGTCGTAAAATTTAAATAATAACCTCTTGAGTATGAGCGTTTGTACTGCATACTTGATGGTTTCTAGACCTGACATCGTAATGATTGATTTGTCCACCACGACTGCCGCTGGAATGGGGTAAAAAGTCAAAGATAAAATCATATTTTTATCCATTTAACCTTATTATTTGGAGTAGCAAATAATCTAAATCCTTAAATTGTATACTAATCTCATCTAAAACCTATAACGGAAGAATAATTAGAGCATCTATTTACAATAGTACTATAATTTTTTTTTTCTAAGTCTTATGGGATCAAGTAATAAATATTCTAAACAAGAAGTAAAATTCCCGTGGGACAACTTGGCTTTCCTATCTGTAAATTGTAACGCGCGCATCTTAATTAAAGAATAGAGGAGGGAGAAAGTAACAAATTTCTCTTATTATTTCTTTTACCTAGAAATAATATATTTGTTCCATGACAAACTTGGAATTCTTGAATTATGACCTTCCATTTTTCTGATTAGTCGACTAGTATTTGCATCCCAAAGTTGTACAATTCCATCACTTGTACCAACAGCTAAATAATCTGCTTCCTCCATCCAACTAACAGAACCCACGAAATCTCCTTCGTCTAAACTCATTAAACGCTCTATTCCACCAGTTGTTGCGTTCCATACATAAACATGACTGTTTAAACTAACTGCCATAAGATTTGAGCATGACCAATCCAAAATATTTAGATCTGTTAAAAGAAAAAACATAAATATATATCTACGTATATATTAATTAATTAGGTGAATAAATATTTTATCTTTCTCGGGGAAAGTGCTCATTTATTTGCAAAGCTTTACCAACATTTTGTTACATGCAAGTCCGAAAATTTAGCCTACAGCCTATTCACCCTGGGAATTGGTGACACGTATCTTTGCGAAATGTGACTTATATTTGCTGTACAAATATTCTTCTAAGGTTGCTAATTGATCGGGGCAAACTTAATAGATTTCCAGGACACAATACTTACAATAGTCGTTTCGAATTTCTGGAGCGTCTAAAATACGTTCTGAGTTGCTAGGGATGTGACGCTTGGTTGATGATTTAACACTGCTTGATCCGATTGTTGCACCTTGTAAGGATTTATCGATTGCTAAAAGTGGTGAAAGTAAATTGATAACAACTTTCAAGTGGAACCTATATGAATTATACAAACATTCAATCGGCTGGGGCGCCCTATCTCTAAAAGATAGGATTTTGGTATTAGGGTCAATGTTAAAATGGTCATTAATAATTTTTTGATTTTCTTGCTTCATAGGACTAAGTCCCTCGTTTGATAGACTTCTTTCCTGAAGAAGAAAGCTTGAAAGCTGGAAGTTGGTAGTGCTTCTATTAGGTATGAAACGGTCTCCACCCGGGGTTTTAGGAGTTTTAGGTTTTCCAGGTGTATTCGATTTTCCAGGAGTTTTAGGATTCTTTGACGGTGTTTTATTATTTGAATTACGTTTTGCTAATCTAGATTGCGGTACAGCTTGTTGAGCTGGTAGACTATCAAGTCGAAGAGTATCCATTTCTATCCTGTCAAATTTTAAAGGCATAAGTGATACATTATTAATAGTTTCAATCTAAATTTACATACTTTTGGCCAACAAGTCAACAGCAATAAAATATTAGAAAGCTGCAATTTAAAACCTCAAGCTTCCAACAGAGAGTTAAAAATGTACTGTCTTTTTGTTAATTTAAGGTTTAAATATAAACGTCGTCACTTTAAATTTGAATGGTTTTCCGCTTCCGGTAAAAGTTCCTACGAAGAATTTCAAAATGGCGGCTCGCTATTATTTTTTATTGACGGCCATTGCTATTCGCCAGTCAACTTTAGACGTAGTAATTTTCTTTCTATATTATTAACGTTAAAAGTGATCGCCGGCTTTTACATGGTTCATAAATACTACAATAACCTTTCATCTCTGTTTTGAGTCCTGTCAACTGACCAAGGTTTTAAAAAATAATTGCATATTTTTTTAGGTAAAATTATAATGTCAGTTAATTTTTCATAATAGAATACTTTAAAATATTTCACTTTATTCTCATATTATCGTCTATTAAATTTACGCGGTAAAATTTCAGAATCGACACTCCTAGTCTCATTTCGATCATCAGTTATAATAAAATAAATATTGAGTATGTCCAGAAGAAGTCGCGATGCAAATCTTGCCGAGAAAGCAAAATCTCTCCTACTTGGTAGATTAGCCGGTCAAATCGATCATTCACCCCATTTCCTCTGTCCCGAGGGCTTCAAACATGAAAAAAATGAAAGGTAACTTTGATTATATTTCTATAAATTATATAAATTTAAGTAAACATGAATCTTGCGTTGAAAGAGTCCGATCACGAATAGGAAAAAAAGAATTCCAATGTCATCGATATAAAAAAATATAAAGTTTTCTCCTATTCATATACAGCAAAGTAAAAAGTGCCGTTCCAGCTTGTAAAAGAATATATGACTCAATACAAAAAGTATTTTCAAACGAAAGCAGTTCTCTTATTCTAACTGGAATAAGAGGAATAGGAAAATCCTATGTAAGTTAAGTTATTTATCAATCTAAGGAGTTATGTTGACCATTCTTGTACTCTTAATGTCCATTCTAGTTAATAGATAAGGTTCTTAAGAGGCTGAAAGACGAAAGGAGACAATTTCGATTAGTTCGACTGAATGGTTGCATACAATCAGATGAAGTAGTCGCCAAAGTTGAAATAGACCGTCAACTCAACGAATACACCAATTCGCATCCTTTGATAATAATTCTTGATGAATTTGAAAATTTTGCCACCGACAAACAGCACTTGTTATACAATTTATTCGATTCTTCAACTTCTTTTAATATGTACGGTTCTGCCGTTTTTACTATAGGAATAACAACTCGTATGGTAAATATAAAACTTACATTTGTCTAAGATAAACAGTTATCATAAACTTTTTCATTTTAGAATGTTATTGAATTATTAGAAAAACGAGTAAGATCAAGATTTTCTCATGAACAAGTACATCTTGAAAGTAAATCGTCACTAACGGAGTACATTCAAATGTATATTTCATTTCTAACCCTTTATAAAGGAGATATTGATAATAAAGGATTTTTGAATAAATGGAATGATGCCGTAAAGGTAAGATTAAATAATGAATGATAAAAGATTGTTTATATCTCTCTTTACTTATTACAGAAGTCATTTACATACGGTTTTGTTAGGGAATATCTACAAGATTTATACTATCAACAAGTTGATATCAGAGAAATAGTTACCTTTTCAGTATATATCATTTTTAAACAAAAAGGTTAAAAATTATTGAAAATTTCTAATTCTAATTAGGACTGTTGCCTTCGTTTAATGGGTTATAGAGAATTCTTTGACGAGGATCTTCTAAGAGAAGTTTGTTCAATTTACACGTTAAATTCTCAAAATTGTTTATTACAAGGTTTATTACATATTTCTCATTTCTGATACAATTTTATTTATTTGTTTATTATGTTTGCAGATCTAACTACACTTGAATTATCCATTCTTATTGCAGCTGATCGTATTTATAGCTTATTTGTTGGTGAACCATTCACATTTGAAATGGTTTTTAACGGTAAGCGATAGTTAATTTTACTTGTCTTATCGTATTTTTCGCTATTTTCGAACAATTTTAATAGAATATAAGAAATTCTTTTCAAAACATTCTTCTTTGGAAATGTTTGCCAAGTCTGTTGTATTAAAGTCTTACGAAAAACTGTTTGATCTGGAAATATTAACGATTGCCGATGGATCGACTGTAAACAATGTTCCAAAAGAATATCATCCAATGAAGCTCACCGTCCCTCACGAAGATATTGAACGAGTTGTTGCCGATTTAATTGATTGTCCAACGGAGGTTAAGCAATGGGTCAACTCTTTACCTACTCAATAATAATATATTATTTCTGCTTAGATAAACTGGTCGATAAGATCTGATTAGTCTTTTATCGAGTTTTTATTTTTATTTTCCATTTAAATTTTGTTTCAAAGTAATAAAACAAACTAAGTAAAAACTACCAAGTGATAAACAAACTTGTATAAACTAAATGTTAATAAGTTATCTTCACTGGGACTCTTCTTCGTTCGAAAGATTTTTCTCAATGTATTGAGCAAAGGTTTCAGCTTTATCTTCAAAATACTGGGCTACTTCTGTTAGATTTTCAACCTTCTTTTCGAGCTCTTCAATTTTTTCTCGTAGCTAAATGAAAGAGCTTATTACTAGTTTCTCATAAATATCACCATATATATATGTACTTACAGTTTTATTCTCCTTTAAAATCTCTTCACGCTCTTTTTGCATATCATCGTTTTCTTCTGACGTTGCCTCCTTAACTATATTTATTACACATCGAATTTATTATCTATATTAATAATTCTTTTCTCTTATTTGCCTGTCTTATAAATACTACAAACCTGTTTTAATCCATTCTTGCATGACTTCAATGTCATCATTTTTTGTTTCGGTATATTCTTCATCTAAATTTCAATCAAAGGTGATGAAAACAATCATCGAAACTATAAAATTATCCTTACCTTTTGTTTTATCACTATTACTGACAACCATCTCGGTTTGGGTGGCAGTTTCTGAACAAGAAGTAAGTGAAAGTGGTAAATATTAGTTAATATAAGTTTAGTGTTATTCTCTTACCTGTCAATTCTAAAATATTTGTTTGACACTCTCCATCTATAAAATAGTACAAGTAATTTAATATTTAATAATATTAAGGAAATATATTCGAAAAATACATATATTATTACCCTTATAGAATAAGAAGTAACTTTCAAACGAGATATGAAACAGCTTACCTTTCACCGGGTGAGCAACCGTTGTTTTTGCTTGTTTAGTTGCTTTCTTAGATTGAGCTTTGTCAGTTTTTGGACAATGTTTTTCGTTACCACTTATTTTTTGCTTTACAGGGTCCTACAATATATAAAATATAGTTTATGCAATCTATATATAAAATTGAGAGCGGGAATGACTTGTTTACATAGACTGAAACTGTTAGAAGGCCTTACTTTTAATTTCTCCTGCTCCTTTTCATGTTTTTGAGCTTCAAATGTATTGTCGATAAACATCAAACCGCTTCGTTCTTTAGTCATTTCGCAAAATTTGAGGTTTGCAAATGAAATTATTTTCAAGAGTTTTTAAACACGAGCTTCATAGATGGGTTACTCGTTGCATTCATATAATATCCTACCGTTTAAACGCGGGAACTAACAACCAAACGAATAAGAACCAATCAGGACAGCCGTTGTATAAATCACCCAATAAGAATAAAGCTTGGTAGGTAGATACATAAATCTTTGAAGTGCGAAACTTGTATTTTTAATATCAAGGTCGTTTTAATCAACGTTAGTTTGTCGGTTTTTTAGAATTTCACTTAGATTTTTGCGCAAATCTTAATGGAGAAGTCACTAAAGCGTAAAGTAGAGTTTGATGACAAAAATGAGGTGATAGATGAGTCTGAACCAGCAACTAGAAGATTCAAGGAAAACCATACTTTAGATTCAGACGACGAAGATAAGGATTGTAAGAATTATGATGTCTTAAATGAGGATGATATAGAAGGCCAAGAGTCGGACCCCGAAACTGGTTTTGACGGCGAAACCAAGTTAACACCGTTTAACATGAAAGAAGAACTTGAAGAAGGTCATTTCGACAAACAAGGCACCTATATTTTCGAGAAGGATAAAGAGGAAGTGAAAGACGCCTGGATGGATAATATAGATTGGGTTCGTGTGAAAGAAAGGGAAAAAAACACAATGGAGGAAGAAGATAATGATGAAGACGATTCTGACAACGAATTAGATAAAAGGAAAATTTTCACCGGAATGCTAAAAATAATGAAACCGGGCGAAAATGTGTTGCAGGCTTTAAAAAGATTGGGCGGTAATTCACTCAATTCAGCTAGCGCACGTTGGTCAAAGAAAAAACCAAAAAAGACAACTGAAGAAAGTACAGCTAATAAAGAAGCATTATTGGAGCTAACTGGTTATGCTGATGAGGTAAGGATGTTTAATTTCAGCTCAATGTCAATTATTAATATTTTTAACCTTATGAACCTTTCGAGTAAGACAGTTAAAAGGAAAATATCAATTATTTTCAAAGGTTAACCGCTATTTGCAACCCTTATATTAACTGAACTTTTGGCCAAATAAACAATTAACAGATCTGTTTTAAGTTAAATTCCTTGTGTTTTATTCGTTATAGATGTTAACTGATGGGGAAACAGAAATATATCAATATACTTTTGAAAAGTTAACGCATTGCGTTAAAAGTCTGGAAGAGAAAATGATTGACAAACCGCTTCCAGATCCTCAGAAACCAGTTGACGAAGATCTAGATATATTTGGTGACGAAATGTCTAATAATGAATCAAAGAGTATTGATACTGAAGAAAAGAAAGATAGCGACGACGAAAATGGTGTTATGTGGGAGTACAAATGGAAGGAATCAGACACCGAATTAATCGGGCCGTTCTCTTCAAAGAAAATGCTTAACTGGTGTGAAAGTGGATTTTTTAAAGCAGGCGCGTTATGCAGAAAAGTTGGCTCTACTGGTGGATTTTATCCAACGTCACGGATTGACTTTGATATTTATGTGTGAACATTGCTTCTCTTTTGCATTTATACAATGAATAAGAAAACCATACTATGGACTTTTCGGACTTGTCCTCTCTTATTTTCAAAGACTTCAGATTTTTTCCATTGTTTTTTGTTATCATATTTAATGTAAATATGTTATTTTGTTACTAAAAGTAAACGTTGAAAAATATCATCTTTTCTCAATTTTTGCTCTTCCTCTTTTTCAATGATTAAATATAACATTGCACTATGGATTAATTGGGCAAAATGTAAAAAATTCTCTTAAAAGTTACTAAGTTTGAAGTGTTAGCGAAATGAAACGAATTTTGATTGAGATAATACATTTATTCAACAAAATATAGATATTACATGTTGAAATGGGAGGTAATTTTACTTAATTGATAGTTTGTAAATGGCTGATATTTACTTGACAAGTAATTGTTCAGAATTAAGGCCTGGACCCGTTGAAAATCCGAGATGTAAATTGAATATAGATCTTTCCAAATTACCGTATGATTGAACAAGCAGTGTCTCTTTACAACAGCAGCAAAAGCCATTTTCAATATTTTTAGCATCAAGTTCATTTAAACAGTTGGATTCGGTTTCAGTAGCAGACGTATCTTTAGTTACATTTCGACAAATACTTTGGTGTTCTTGTGAACAACATCCTGGATTGCACCGGAAGTTAAATCTTTCGTCCTTGTTGTAGAATCTATCTATGGTATATTTTATTGTTGACGGTAGACTGTTGAATGTTCCTGTTTCGTTCGTTTTGAGAGCTTGAGAAATAACTAGTGTGGCAGACAGGGAAGCGGCTATAGCTGTAACCCCGATCACATACGAAAGAGATATCGCTATCAAAACCTAGGAAGTACTTAGATAAGAACTATAATCTCTTTGACATTGTAAATAAATATACCTTGAACATTTCTGACGTAAAAGTACTTAAATATTTTGCCAAGTTGAAATTTTCTAAAATAACTGATAAATCGGTATAAGTCCAATAACCTCGATCTCTTCCTTGTTTACATGCAATTCTGTTACGATAATCAAAGTTAACTATAATAGAATTTAAGTTAACTTAATACTTACAAATATTCTAGTTTGCTCAGAGTGTTGTAAAAGTCATCTCTTTCTATGAAAAGATTCCAGTTAATTGCGGTTAGAAATTCTCTTTCCAAGTCATTAATTTCAGACGTTTCCAAATCTCCACTTTCAGCCCACTCGCCATTGAAAACAGCCTCATCTTGATCTTGGTCAAAAGAGTATTTCGAAGCAACCATCTTTACGAAAATATACAATACGTTAACTCTATATTATTAAAATAATTTGTTTTACCATCGAAATGAGAAAGAGTTCAGAACCAGTGATTGACTTCAAGTATCCTTTGTTCGATTTTTTTAATCTTTCAATGTAGATCATTCCCAACATCATAGAACACGGTGACATACAGGCATCTCTCGAAATTTTTGAGGCATTAGCAATATCCAAGAATCCAAGAGTTTTTGGACATGTTTCCCGTAAAGCATCAACGAATATCTCTGTTAAGAAAAAGATTTATATATATATTAATAATCAGATAATGATATTTAACAGTTCATAAAAAAAGTAATAATTTTCTTTATTAATAAAATAAAACGTCAATAGGCAATATAATCTGTTAATAGGCTATTTGTGTTATCTAGAATTTCCACGATGATTTGAAAAAGCAAATAAATGTTCTTTCGTTTAGCGGTTGACACAATAGTGACCTTCTTTATTCAAATATGACAGATCATCAAATAGACGTATAATTTATTTTTCCTCTAACTAGAGCAAGCAAACAAACCAATATTCTCGGTCAGCATAAGGCGCCTGTTTGACCGAATTAAAGACAGATAACCGCTTTTTCATATCAAAATACGGTAAACTATGAATGGAATCACCAACCTTCATAAGAATAACACTACATGTGAAAATTGGTTATTCTACTCAATAAACTACATCTTATGCCATTTATACTTGCACGTTGAGTTCTCATGAAACAGAACTACTACGTACTAAACGTATGAGGGGTATATAAATTGGGTCAAAAGTATTATTACCAGTCATAGGAAGGGAAGGTCGATCAGTCTTTGGCAGCTTTCCATAATATAACCGTTTTTTAATTCTATTTCGAAACAATTCGTGTTCAACACCGTACTGAAAGAAAGGACGTCACGTTAATAAATTTGTCGACTGTATTGTTTTGTTAGATAAATCGGTGGTGAAATTTTACTTACTTTATCATTTAGAAAATCCATCTTTATTGATTAGATTTTCTGTTTTTTGTAATTACTGAGATTTACAGGTAATATTTCTTTAATACTTATTTACAATTTGTGGCGAAATGGCTGCCCTTAGTGTTCTTAACTGAGTCAAAATCTACAGATTAATTTGCCGATATGGATTTTACAAGAAATCAAAATGGCGTCGTATACAATTTTACGCTCATTCATTTTTACTATGGAACAACAGTGCTTTTTGACGCGTTTCCACCACTACCGTAAAATAGAATTAATTTTAAGTGCGGTCCAGCAATATACGTCCTATTTATGAAATCTATCAAATATCCAGAAAAAATAACTAAAAATACTATTAACATACCACATTTTTACTTCTTTTTCATACTGTTTTTTTATACACACAAAGGCATTTTTTTACTTCTTAGTAGTTTCGTTTAAATACAGTAGGTATTAAGGTTACATTCGCGAGGAATGGAAATTAGTAGAACTATACAAGGAATATTTACTTCGCGCCATTTGAGAAGTATCCATTTCTTCTGTAAATTAATAAATAATTTATAATTTACTAAACGAAATTCAATAAGACAATGGTTTTAATTAGATCTCTGTTGATAATTACTTAAAGTTCTTTGTGACAAAGCGTGACTGAGAACAGAAGAACGAGACAAGGGTAAATTGATGGTTTGAACTCTCTTTGTTCGACCCTAAAACCAAGTTATTTATTAATTAAAAGTTATTTATGTATTTTATCTTAAGAAAAAACCTTTGCGACAAAATAACCAAGAACAAGTAAAAGTGTAAGAGCTAATGGTATCCCAAAAAATAAACTTAAATACATATTACTCTTTTTTTGTAATTTGACTTCAGCAACTGTTTTCACTGTTGCTGTATTTCCCCAAAAATTAGAAACCAGGTGGAAAATTTATTGATTAAAGAAGACTTTATTGAAGAAGTTAAGATATATTTACATGTTCCTTTTGTCAGACTTTCGGAAACTTCGTCTAGAAGATAAGAGTAGTTTAGTAAGAGTATGATTTTACAATAGAACAAAGTATAGTTACCAAACAATATTTCGCTCCCGCGACTATATACCTGAGACCTTCCGTTAGTTACACTAACTTTATAAGTTCCAGAGAAGCTTGGATTCTTTTCATTAAATATTAAAGTACATTGGAAGAGATTATTTTTTCTATCATATATTTCGTATTCTTTATAATGTCTTTGATTTTTAATTAAAGGAAACTTGAAAAAGATAGTAAGCGAAAAGGAATTCGAAAATAAAGAATAAATAATTTGCCAATTAAATGAATGAATAAATTAATTAATTACGTCATCTTTAAACCACGAACAAGCTTTGTTTAGTATGCACATGTGATAAACTTGAAATTTTAAATAATTCCCCTCGTAAAAATTTAGATTTGTGTATACGTTTGGTAAATCATTAATTATTTTGATTGTTTCTTGATGACAATAGGGAAATAGACGCTTTTTAATAGAAGATGATAAATTATTAACGTACCTGTAATATAAATTACAATAGATATCATATCGAAGAATAAAGTGTTCGTCTTATCATCATAGTTCTCCGCTGTACAATAGACGGTTAAACAAGTCTTTGATTGAAGACTTATAAAGCTTTTCGTATAGCCTTCGTATATTCTAAAAATGTTACCACTTGTGCCTAGATGTTTATGGTATAGTTAATAATTTTCTTGTTATTTTAAATTGACCTACATACTTTCTTGATATTCTAAAGACAAGTTACGAGTTATTTGCCAATGTACATTTATAAATTTAGAGCCTACTGCTTCGCAAAACAATGATACTTTAGCTTCATTTTCATGTACTTCATATTTAGGCCATTTAGTTAATATTTTTACAGGTTCTTAATTAAGAAAATAGTGTTAATTAGTAACTATTAATCAAATAAAATCGATATAATTTACTAAATGCACGAATCTTGAATATTTTTGTTTCGTACTGATATTTGGGAGTTAAGATAGTACATGAATACGGATGTTTCGTATTATCAATAGTACATTTTTCTAGAGTAGAGAAAATAACTAATTAATAGATTTATAAATTTATTACATTGAATAAATTTACTTATTCTTAATATCCATTTATAATTTTTTGGTTCGAAGGAATAGTCTTTAGATGTTTCATCCAAAATGTCACCATTATATATCCAAGTAACATAAGCTCTATTTATAAAAATATAGTTTTGTATATGTTTATTTAATAAATGTTTATGATTTTTCATAATATTTAGTAAAGATAATAAGATAAATTAATATATTTACTTATTTTTAGGTATACAAGGCAGTTCTACGTCTAGTTGACCTAAATGCACATCAATAGTAGATGGCTTAGGATTGAAAAATCCTATATTATCTACCTCCTTTTTGGGTTTTCTATTGTATTCAATTACTAGAAATTCAAAAAAACTCTCCTCTAAACTATATTTATAGCTTGTTCGTGTACTTATTCTTAAAAATTTGGTACTATTTTTCCAATAATTCGGATGGTTTCCCTTACTTAGACACAAGTCGAAATCAACTTCAATAAAATATAAATATAAATCTGCCAAAGATTAATAAAGTTAATTTATCTATATACAATATATACTAAATTACCATTTATCGGCATAATTATACAGTCTTCTATTGGTTCACTGACTCCATGATCTTCATAATTTTGATAAATATTTATTTTGCAAGCAAAACCATGTTTACATATTCGGCGTTCTGTTAGAATTTTAATTTTAGTAGTTTCACCTCTTTCAATTTTAATTGACTTAAAATGTTTCTTTAGAACTGGATTTTCTACTAAATCAACCGTATGAGCTTAGAAGTAGTTAAAGAAATATTAATTAATAAATAAATTAGTTATTATTATAATAATAATACAAACATTCGGCTTCTATGTATAAAGGTTGCGAAAATGAATTGTAAAGGAACTTTGAAAGGTAATAGACGGTAAAGCATTTAATAAAATATCCTGTCTGATTTCGTTCAAGTTCAAATTGTGCATTTCCATCTTTAATATATCGTTTAAACACTTTGAATTTAGTTGTTGCTTTCTCTTCAATAGGTTTCCATAGTATCATTTGTCTGTTATAATAACAATTACTAGTTATATATAGGTGTTACGTTTAAGTAATAATCAGACCTAATGTCAACAAATTTATTAAGAAATAAAGATTTTTTTATCTTAGGTAAATTGACAGTAATTTTGGAATTTTTAAAATCTATATAGATTTGTTTCTCTTCAAAATTATCTGCTACAGGTAGATTAAACTCTCCTTCTATTGCTTCTAGAATATTTCCATAGAATAATAAATAAATAATAATTTATAATAATAATAATCGAATTATTAATGATAATTTCAAGTTTACCATATTTTTTTATTATAATGACGAGTAATCCAAATACGATTTCTCTCATCCTAATTCTGTTATCTTATTAATCCTTTATACATTTAGTAATGTATTTATATATAGAGTAATTAATTCTCTTCATACATTATCTTTTCGATAGTATTTAATACTTTACTATGAATTTAATAAATAATTTTTACTGTTTTAAAAGTTTCGAATGTTTAAATATTCAAATTACAAAAATATTTCCTATATTTGTCCCTTTTATTACTATTCTGCTTTATTGGTGATTCTTTGTTTGCTGTTAATGAAACTAGTCACAAAATATTCATACGATTATATAATATTTCGCAATAGATAAATTACTGTTGGACGATGAATACTCTAGTTGTGACTTTGAGGGCAGCAGGTGGAGTTGTTTAATTATGAATAAGGAGAGAAATAACAGATGGCATTGCTGATTCGTGGGGTGGAAGCTTGAGGAAAAGTGTTCACGTAAAGAAAAATAGGAGAGACTAGAAGATAAAAAGAATTTAAAGTGTGAAAAAATGTTGTTTTCTTAAGAATTTTACTCATATTTCAAGTATTATAGTTGAGACGTGAATTTATGCAAATTAGATTTAATATTCCTTTAAATTTCAACAATATAAGTTTGAAGTTGTGAAAAAAAAATATTCTATTTGAGAATTATAGAGAAAATAAGCAAAGGATTGATTTATATAAGTATAATTCATATTCGCGTCAGAAGATGTTTATTCTTAAAGGGTTATCAGTAGATGGCGTTTTGTTATTTTTCAACAGGTTTAACCTCGGCGTTGTTTGATAGATTGATGTGCTATTTAGTTATTTGTCTATACGCTTTAAGCAAAGTACAAGAGTAAGCAATGCAAAGAGCAAAAAAATTTGGCTACTAACGGTTTTTTTCTAATACTATATATATATATATATATATACCAAAAATGCACTTTGGTGACAATTCGTTCATTGAAATTTTGAAAGCAATTATCTCTAATTGTTGATTAGTAATTGAATTAGTACAGAAAGAAACAGAATAAGCCAATAATGTATATATAAAATGTGAAATATTAGAAAAGAAAGGTACTATCCATCTGAATACAAAGGATGAATTATAGGCTTATAAAGAATTTTATTACAGTATTTTATAATCTAATTAAATATTTATAAAGAAAAGATTTAAATTTTACACAAAAGTTTAGATATAAAATAGAAATGAGCTTGTCATTAGAAATAGTTGTAAAATGAAAGAATTATCGCATTAAACTTAACTTTTACCAATCATTTCATAAGTTTATGAATAATTACGATATACAGAAAAAAGGGGCATAAAGGATGAATGAATTTTTCTTTTAGGGTTTACAATAAGGTAGTTTTAGTTCACTTTTCCTTTCTTTTCTCTCTCTCCTTCCAAACTTTCCTTTTATCAATCTTATAATTAATAAAAGAAAGCCTTTTTAAAATACTGTACCCTCTTCTAGTAGGTTTTTTTTTAGAATTAATACATAAAAATAAGATTAATATATAAAAGATATAAAAATTTTGGACTTAATCTATTACTTATTATCATCAGATTAATTTATGACGCTTCAGCTTTTAAATAATAATGTGACAGTTTGATTTTAAAAGGGAAAAAAAAGTTGTTGTATATTTTATGCAATTTTTTTTTTTTCGCACTCTCGATTTTTATGGAGGCGTCTCTTTTCATATTTTTGTCATTTATCAAAAAGTAAATTTACATAAATTGTATATATTTATACATTCAAACATTAATTTCATTTATGATTTCTTTGAATTGTGTAAAACCCTTATAAAAAATTAATAACCATAAAAGAGAGGAATGAGTTTGGTGATAAGAGGCGAACTATTTCTCTTCTCCTAACATAATCTAATTAAGATGATATAGGGAATAGCAACGTCATTTCTAATATCAGATATCAAATAAGCCTTTGCAGTTGTATATTTCCCTTTAATCTTTTGAATTAGAAAATCATCTATTTTTAGATATGACCCTCTCCTCCCCTTTTTCTTACCCTTTTTTCTTTTGCCCTCTCTGTCCTTTTCCCTTTAAATTCTTTTCGTTTGAGAAAAGTTTCTCTAAGAATTTTATTGAATATAGCAAGTTGAATTTCACTGAGAAAAATCAGTTTAGATAATGCTTTTCAAGACCTTTTAACCAAAGATTCCAAAATTTAATTATCAAACGACTTCCACTAATGGAAATCGATGGTGATATGTTCGTAAAGAACACGTGATATGAGGTAGACTAATTCTATTTCATTTAATACTCAATAAGGTTTATATAGTAATTATTATAAAGAATCGAAAGTTACTATGCTAGAGGCCACTAACTGAATAATATCATGTATGTATATATTTATAGTTAGGAAATTATATCGGTTTTTACTCTACTGTTACATTAAAATAAGACTAGTAGTATTACTTGGCCCTAAGGATGGAATTACAAGCGAATTTATTCAACTAGTAGACAAAAGTTGAAGGACGACGTGGGAGGAGTAGGAGAGGCTAAAAATCTTAACAACTTGATAAAATTTTCCAGGAATTGTATTGGCTTGGGTAATTTTATTCAAGTAACATATAGGCACTTATTTTCATTTAAAGAGGAAAAGATTAAAAGATTATTAATTATCGCATTCGGTGCATTTCAAAGTGAACATTGAATGAAAGAGGGCAGGGGAGAAAACACAACACGTATATGCATATACAGTTACACACACACGCGCACATAGAGGAAAAGAGACAGACAGACACAGAGGAGAGAGAGAGAGAGAGAGACGGAAAGAAAGAAAGAGAGGCTTTAGCAGATGGTATATGTATTCAAGTAATGCTGATTTTATACCCAACTATACACATAATATATTGAATTGTTTAATCATGCTTTTTTTTATTATTATTCTTTCCTGTTTCCGCCGTGTTTTAATTAAAGTTTTTCTCTTTTTTTAGGGTTTAAAAATTTTTTATGTATTAATAAAAAAAAATAATTAAAATCTATATATATTTTTTTAATACAACGCAGTCAGAATGCGAATAAAGTAGAAAGAAAGATAGCATAACGATAGAATGAGAGAGAGCGAGAAAGAGAAAGAGTAAACTTAGGACATCTGCAAATCAACTTAGGCCTATTGTCCGCTTTTATCGCCTTTTTTTATCTCCGGAAGTACGTCGAGGAGGAGTACTATCAGGTACAGTAGTAGAGAAATTCTGCGTCAACTACGTGACATGCATCCGATAGATGACTCTGTCTACATTGTATCAGAGACGAGAACGTACAATAGTCTTTTCATTGTTTCCACAGGAGGGAATGCTAGGAATCTTTTCTTGTGTTATATATATATATATATATATATATATATATATATATATATATATATACTTTTACATATCTATAAATAAATAATACTATATAGTATATATATATATATATATATATATACATATACTGTATATAAATACATTGTTTCATTTTGCATAAGTATATTATACATATAGATGTTGAAAATATATTATTGCCAAGCTTTATTTATTATATATACAAAAGTCCATTTACACATATTTCAGACAATAAAATACTACAAGCACCAAAGGTTATTCTATAACAAATAGAATTGCGGTAGATATTATGTAATGTGCTATATTGATTCGGATTAATTTTAGTTGACGTCATTAGGCCTAGTTAGCGAACGATGACGGCTTATATAATAAAAACCTTTTTGTCAATTTTGCTTACCGTTCATTAAACGTTTCAACACGCAATCGTTCGTTTCTGGATTATTTTAATCTTTTTTTTTTCTTTCTCTTAATTGAAATTGCATTTTAATGTTAGCTTCGACACCATTTTTTCTTTGCATCCTAGAATGATTCCTTATAGTTTTACCGGGGTGTAAGAAAGAAGAAAACGAAAATATAAATCTGGTAGACGCCTAAACTATTTAGGCCTTGAGTTTGTCTTACTTACTAACCTAAACAAAAGAGTAAATATATCAAGTAACGAGATACCGCAAATGTAGAGTAATTTTAAGGAAAGATTTACCATTCTAAAAACTTCCTTGTGCAATTTAAAGTTAAAAATATCTGTTTATTAGTATAATTTTAGAAATAGCTCTGTTTTTAAACTGACGTTGTTTTTTTTATTATCTGTTTGTTTTTGTATTAGTATCTAGATGACATTAATTAATAAAAGAAACGAGTAAACTGTAACAGGTATAATTTGAATTAATAAAGACTTTGAAAAGTTTAGCCAGAACTATAATCACACTCAATAAAAATGGACATTTAAAAGGTTTTTAACGATCAAACGGCTGCCATACCACTATTACCTTTATTATTTTAAACTTAATAGTAATATTATATCTCAACCATCTGTTACTTATTTGGAGATGACAGATTTTAATCGCGACTCTTGTCCTCACCATTGCCATTGCTATCAAACCATGTGACGTATCATAAAAAAATTCAAAACAGAGGCTCTTTTTTCAATTAATATTGTATACGCCAACGTCGTATTTAATACATTTTTTTCATATAAATATACTGTCCTTTTTCTTTTCTTTTTAAGCTTTCTATATAAATTATAGAGTTATAAACAAAGCATTATAGCCTGGTTACAGAATTTTTTCACGCTTAATTGTTAAATGACAGTTGTATTGTTGTATATATACTAAAAAAAAGAAATAATACGAGCAACTTAGTAAAGA